GAGAAAAAATACTTTTACTCCTTTCAATGTGACCTATTGACGACGAAACAGATCTGTTACACATGAGCTTTGGGAGGGGGGGGCATTTTGCACTTTCGCTGCTTCACTAGTTCCGGTTTACAAGTCTCACTCTGGTGAAACCTGTGAACTCTTGTGAAGCTGGAGCAAGCTCGTCAAGCCATCATGGTAAAACCTGTCAACTCAAAAAAGGCTCTCCAGATGGGTGAACATTGGCACGTTGGGATGTAGCAAAAGTGCGAAATGCCTTCCCCTCCCCTTTGCCCCCCACCCTCTCCGTCGCCAAACTGTCCCCACCTTTGTCTTGGTCAACTATACTATACTACTAGTATACTATACTATATATTATTTACTACTACTAACTACTATTTACTGCTACTATTTACAGTGATCTTCGTTTAGGCTTGCGAACGTGTGATTTACGATTTCTTCTCACTCAATACCGCTGACTTCTCGACAATCCTTTCCAGTTATCCACCGCAATGGCGAGAATTTGCATATAGTCTTCTTAAGAAGAATAAGCCAAGGTCAGTGGCACTAATGTATTTTTGGGTTGGTTTCAAAAGAACGCTCCTGAAGAAGCTGCTTCTGGAAGAGAAATGAAGATGAATAAGGGCGTTTTGTGAATATAGCACGAATCAGTTGTTGTCTGTGGTGGCTCATCCATCATTTTGAACCTGTTTTTATACTTTTACTTTCTGTTTATGTGGGCAGTTTGCCCGTCGCTTTTGGACGTGGCATTTGCTTATGCATTGGCGGTGCACTGGTGGATGATATCACGTTTGTTGATGATTGTTTTTCACTGAATTGCTTATCCGCAATTTCAGCCCACGCTAATCTTTATTTTATTTGAACATTTCCTGATTCTCATCACCTGTATCCGCTGTGCTCCGGTTGATCATCAAGCGAGCGCCAGTAATGTCTCCATTCGTCCCTACAATGTGCTAGGATTGCCCAGGGGCTCCCATGTGCTCGACCGACAAGATGAACATCATACCTTCGTTCAGAGTTTTCAGGAAAGAAGTCTGACCATCGCCTACGAGGTCGTCCGGGTGTTCGTCTAACAACCCTGGGACTGGATCTCGTAATTCCACGAAAACCTGTCATACGTACTTCAAAGCCTGTCTCACATTCTTTGTACTTTTTTGTCCACATTGAGAAGTTTATTGCTAGTTTAGTTCTTTTTTGAATGCTACATTTGAGTCAACAGGAAGTGGTTCTGGAACAGTCTGCTTGGAAAGAAGTGTGTAGGTTTGAGTTGAGCGGAGACCTTCTTAGTGTTAGAGGCTTCAAATTCCGCTTAATCACTGCCTTTATTTTCCACGGATTTTATGTTCCTATTCATATTCATTTGTTCGGCTCACACTTTTCTCGGTGGGATTGCTTCCTGTCTCTGCCGAGTTTTATACTTTCCTTTCCTCTGTTCTATAGAGTACGATTAGTGCAATCGCTGGACGGCTCTGTGCACACATATGTGAGAACTTTTGCAATCAGTTCTCTTTGGCTGCATTCATACTTTGCGTCAGCGTTTTCGCGGGCAAATTGAGCTGACGAAAACTGCCGCGTGAACACGGGCATACGGCTGGATCGATATCTATACTGTCCTACTCGCTGACGCTAGTGTGCGCTTGAAACGCGTGCCGCGTCAGCTGGCGAGTAAGAATGCAGCCTGACCCATTACCGCTTTCTGCACGTTCTAAGCTTCTTCTTTTTTGACCCATTCTATGAACAGGGGGAGAACTGTCTCCTAGACGACAACGTTGAACAGCAGGAGAATTTGAAATCCCTGAGCATTTCTTTGTATATGTAAGGAGGCAGGGATGCATTCACAAGCGGCTGTGAACGACGCTGCCATTGTTTCTGTGCATGTTCTTTCTCCTGATTATGTATGCATAGCTGTAGCTGATGCGACTTCTCCACGCCCGTCGTTCTCAGAGCTTCATGACCCGTCTCTTTTAGATATCTTCCCGGATCGAGTTAGATTTGTTCTTTTATGCTTATGTTTCCACTGTTTTTATGCTGTTTTTCTTCGTGGATTGCTACCGTGCTCTTTTTCTGCTCTGGCCATTTTCTAAGTCTATAGAGCAGGTCTCGCGATCAGGTTGCTCAGCCACATTCTCGTGCATTTGGCATTAGGGTTGCACGCGTTTGAGAGTGTGCCAATATTTGTCACTGAAAGGGCGGAGATATAAAGTGGCTCAGACACGCGACTGGATGTGCCTCTATTCTTTTCACTGCTAAGAACTGAATTACATGAACTGACGTGTGTGGCATGGTGTTGCCTGGACGTCGTCCGTTCATTTCAGACACTCCGACGAAAGAGATCTTAACTTGTTTCTTCCTCGCGCTAAGCACGTTGTTCTGACTCTCCCTTCAGTAATAGCCCACTTCCCGAGGCAAAATGAGTTTGGGCGCTGCTCAAATTCAGCAGCGATGCAATCGATTCGCTGCAAAAGCTCGTCCCCCATTGCTTACCGTAGTTCTCATAAACAGTTTTTTCCTCTAGATGGCATTCATAACTAGAGAATGCAAAGAAACGATCTGTGAGTTAGGGGTTGCACAGAGGCCGCAGGGTGTCAAGTCGCCAGCAAGTCTGGAGAATAGTTCGGTGCAGCTGTGTGACTGTCAAGGAGGGGTTTCGTTTGTTCTCTAGTTTTTTTGCTTCTTTCTGTGCTCCTAATCACTTGTCGGTTGCTGGTTCATAATGAGCACTACTGGTAATACTTGATCGCGGGAGCCTTGAGGCATTGTACTTTTTCGTACCATTCCTGTCTAACTAGCATTTCCGGCCATACCGTTCACCTCACAAACGTATCTCTTTTTTCGGGAAGAAATTTCCCTCCCTCTACCATTTTCTTCAGTTGGAATTTACCGGCCTCCGCCACATTTCATTCGAAAGCACTCAGACTTCGCAGCATGACAACTTCCGGCGCCTTTAGCAGTTTTGTGTCCCTTTCTCATTGTTCGTTTTCACTGGTTTCCTTTCACCACTCCCACGCTCACTTCATTCTTCTCGGTTACCACCATTAGTTTCAGTTATATTCTGATGTGCTTCTCTACTTTATCTCACCAGAAGAATAAGTTCAAAATATTAGTTACGTCATTCAGTAATCGGTGGCTGTTCAATAGACAGCTTGTGAGAAAAGCTCTGAAAAAGCTGTAACAAAGCCTTTCCAACGTTTAAGGTATTTTTCACTCGAAGATGAACAGTGCCCTCTCCTCCGTGAATCCTGGTCCTTGCCATGGGTTGGATGAATGGGTCCGCAGATACAGTAGGGTACTTTTTTTCTTCGTTCGAAA